TTTTCAACCAAGGTTTTATTATCTATGATACTTTGTCTTTTCTCATGGTCAGTTGTTTTGCAGGTTTGTCGATATTCGTAGTGATAGAGATCCTAATGCAGTCCATCACGTATGAGAAGGAGTTCCTCCCAGTGGTCCATCCACCCAAGGCCACCTACCACTACGGCTGGAGCTACCATCTCGCGTGGTTTGTCTTCCTTCTTAATCTATTTGCTGGTAAGTGGTTTGAGTTGCCAATAATTGTAGGTTGGTATTTCTCACATTATGTTTTTTTTTTATAAAAAGAGGTTAGCAGCGGCTTTTAACCATGCATTTCTATGCCCGTCCACAAACTGACCTGTGGGTGGAATGGTGTCATCAAATCAAGGGGTGAGCCGGTTCTAGTACAAGGGTGAACTGTACTGATAAGAAGTAGTGTAGGTACTAGCATAGACTAAGCAACACAAGGTACTAGGTTCTGAACCCTCAACATCGCTGCCTTGGGCCTTAAGTCCATGACACTACTGATTAAGCCACCAACTTATTAGTTTCTCGAGTTATAATTAAATTTTTGTCCTATATATCTTTAATAATACAAAAAGAGTTTGGTCCCAAATAATTTGGATCAGCGAAACTTTATTGAAACAGTTCCAATATTTAGTTTGTTTTTATAGCCTAACTAATATTTTTCAAGACTATAGACCACCGGTACTAAATAACTTGATTGGTCAAGTTTTTATGTGTATAGTAAATTTGTATGTTGTTCAGGTTGTGCCTTTATGTGGTACAGTAAAAAACGCAAAAGGGACAAAGCCCCGAACGAGGAGGTTGCAATGGCAGACGAACCTACAATCATCGGACGGTGACAACGTCTTTACTAATCCCCGGTGAGTAGCAGGAATAGCTGAACAGATAGGAATGTAGAGAAGTAGGATATAAGGTGGTCGAATATCTCTTTTCTGAAAAATATTGCTCCACTAAAGCGAAAATAAATAAAGCGATAAATATACCTCAAATTTAGCAAAGAAAGTACTGGGTGTCCCAGAAAGTAATGCACTTTTAAAACAAACAAAACAGGAAAATGGCTTTATTTACAGCAATTTTCCCAAGAATACCTGTTTGTACACTTTAAGGAAATTACTTGTGAAAGATTACATCATCCAGATGTAGACCCTTACATCTAGACCCTTCGTTAAGGCGCCGGCACTCCGCCAAACGAAACCTTACATTTCCGAATACTCTACAGCAGAGTTCTGGTGGGATGGCTTCAATTTCCTCACTAATATTTGGCTTCAGATAATCGAGGGTAGCAGGAGCGTTGTTGTACACCCGACTAGACACACAAAAACGCCTAGTGGAGTTAGGTATGGGCTTCTCAAAGAAATATTGGTGTCACGAAATCTGGAAATGACTATCCCACAAAACAGCTGCCTTATTGCAGTCATGGAGTCTCCTGCTGTATACCCATGCTGTATTTTTTTAATGCCTGTACTAACTGAATTTCGTACCGGTGTAACTACATATAAATCTTGTTTCAAAATGCGGTGAATACTGGTTTGGGGTATATTCAAAGCAGCAGTGTTTTCTTACTGACCAATGTGGATTATCCTCCACAGCATCTCAAACACGCTCGATATTTGATTCAGAACGCGCTTTCTATGGTGACCGATGGGACGAGGTTTTATAGTTGATCCTGTAGCTTCAAATTTGCACACCCAGCATTTAATTATGTTCACTGATGGCGTTTGGTTAATATCATGAAGTCTGTATTGAGCGCGGAAGTGTCGTCGAACTGTCACATAAGAAAGCGTTTGGTAATAGCGACTAATATTTATAATAAGTGTACGCGACGTACACAGAAAGTACGCTAACGCTGCTCACTGGTAAAGGGATCCATGGCAAATGACTTTCCATGGGCATGGCTACAAAGCCCTGATAAGCTCCTTATCTTATCTCTTGACATAGAAAAGATGTGTAGTGCATCTAATATAGGTTGTATTTCTATTTTATGTGTTAATCAATGTATTTGATTTCAATTTTTATCTGTTGTTTTCTTTGAATTTGGATAATGTTGTATGTTGAATGAAAATTGAAAGGCAGGAAAAGGTGGAAAAAAGCGTGAAAGAGGTAAGAGAATGTGTAAATTACAAGTGCAGAAAATAAGTTTTTGTAGGTTTGGGGAAAACACAATATGGTCACTTCTCAATTTATATTAAAAAAAAAAAAAAAAATAGTGTAGGCAAAAATTTGTAAACTTACTTACTTACAACTAATTACTTAATTAATTGATTATTCAATTACTTCACTTAATTACTTGATTCATGTTTTACAAGTTAATCATAAAAAAAATTCTCTTTTTTTCAGCCGAAGCGTCTTTCATCCTTGGAATCCGCCCGAATTGTATTGGTTGCTGCCAAATTTGTGTTGTGTCCATCCATTTTTCAAGTATTAAGACTCCTCTTTAAGCTACAACTTGTTAATAAAAGTATAATATATGATATTGTTATTCTTAGAAATGTTAACTTTGAGACTTGATTCTGATTCTATTACTAGTAGGAAAATTAAAAGGGAATTCTCAGGAATATTTATCAAGAAAGTATTTCATGGGAATATTTGGATATTTTTATAAAATTCAAACAAAATTGTAAATATAAGGATTTCTTGCTGCAATATATCATTAGTACCCACCTTTTATACTAGCTGTATAGTGTTATCTGTTTGGTGAAAATTTGAGGAATTGATTAGGTCTACAACTTGATTTTATTGATTTGTTATACGTTGATAAGTTGTTCCGTATTATATAGAGAAAATATCAAATGATTTTGGGTTAAGCTGTTGAAATTCGTTTTGGTGAAAAAGACAAGTACAAGACTTTTATATATAAGCAATAGTAAATTGAAAATAATTGTTCAGTTGTGGTTTTATGCTAGAGATCAAAATATTTTTAGAATCAGTTAGGTCAAACTTAGTAGGGAGGAGAGTTAGTACAATAATTATACAAATTATTCGTAACTATTGCCTTCAAATTAATTAATTATTGCCGTAAATCTTAGAAATCGTATTTTGTTGCAGTGATCTTTTAACTATAAGTAGAGTTATAAAATAAGAGTTTCCCCCTTTTAAAGACAAATATTAATGCTATTGTGTACATTTATTTAACTTAAATTTATTTATAAGTTTTTTGTTGTAAAGTTCCACTAGCTTTTTTATTACTTTTATATTTTTTCCTTTTTTTGTTGAACACTTTTTTACAAATTCTCACTCAAGCTCTTTCTAAGAACATTATAAAACTCTCAGAACTAAAATTCTAGAGTTTATTTCTTCTAAAGTACTCAACTTGGCCGGGAATCAACAATTTAGTAGTTACCTTAGGAAGTTAGGAATATGTCTCAAAACCTTACATTTTTAGGTATTTCACTGTTTTTGAAGATTTAATTTTTTACAATATCTTGCTTTCAAGTCCTTTATTATTTAATTTTTTAAAACTATCTTTATTTCTTCAGAAGAAAATTATTAGCTTAGAATACTGTTTAAAGAACTTAATCAGTATATTTAGCTTTAGTCACTTTTGCTCAGAACTAAAATTGCTAAAATTGTTACATGGCTTTACAATTTATGAAGCTGGTATTAAAACTATTACTATTGCTATTATTGTTGCCTTTGTTAATTATACGACTCTACCAAAACCGTGATTCAGATCAGTATTTTCCTCGCTAAAGTTGTTCCGTTGACGTTCTTCTGTAAGCCCATGGTACCTAACCTAGCATTACTTTACTTACTTAGCGTTATTTTTCTGCCTCTGTATCGCCCTAGAACAGATATCCTTTTAAATGTTTGCCTTTACGGGTTTTGCCTTGAACGATGGTTCCAAGTCTGTTCTATTCCTAACGAGTTACCAATCACTGGTGCGCCAATACTCTATAAAGACACTAGAATAGCTTGTATTTGTTTATTTACTTGTGGTATGTTTTTCACAATTAAAGTGTATTGTTTTTTGTTTAAAGTGTATTTATTTTCACACCCTTTGAAAGTCAAAGTAGAATTTAAATGTAGTTGGGTATCTGAGAAGATGTAGTTTTTGCTTAGTAGTCCGTGGATTGTCAGTTGATCTTGAGAAAAGCCAAAAGTGATTCAAAACCGGACTCTGCTGCCCTTAATCACAGAGTGTTCAATAAATCCTACTGGTTAGTTATGTTTAAAATTGATATTAACACTAGCAGATTACCCGTTCTTCGTACGGGGTTGGCGTCAAGTATAAAATGCTCTTTGCAGTTATACTTGGCTTTATGTTTGCAATGGGAGAGGACACGGATTAAGAAAATTTTGTTCTTTTAATTTACGGTATGCTATAGTATAGCACATCTACTATAGCCATAACGTTCTACCACTGCACCTAAACAATAGAAAAAACAAAAAATTAAGTTCTCTTTGTATTTCACATCTTTTTGTTGCTATTTGGTTCAAATTAGCTGTTGTCATAAATGCAAAAACATTTAATAGTGCTGAACCCTGTTGGTAAAACTCATAACTTTTTAATGCTATTAATATCATAGAACCAACTTGTGTGTTTGAAACGGTTGATAAAATTCTTTAATTTCATTTTAAATATGAATACTCATAAGGTTAACATGGGAAACTCCAGAGCCACTGGGGTGGAGCCTGAAAGGATTTTTGACACAAAAATATGTCTATATGTTAATTTAGAATGAGAGCTATCACCATACCAAATTTAAACCCAATCCAACCAGTAGTTAAAATGTGTGATTGAACTTCAAACAAACAAACTTTCACATTTATAATAATAGTAAGATTATAATAGAGGAGGCTATAATATTAACCATTTAAATTATAAGGTTTGTCAACAAACTAACCAAAACCAATAACTAGCTAAATACAACACAAGATTTTGTAAATTAATGTCAATTTTCCTAAAATTAGTCCTGTAAACAAAAGCTGTACAAATAACGCTATATTAGAAAGAAGTTAAGAAGGTAAAGAAGTAAACATAAAATGTACTAAAATACATTTATTTACAGGACAACATTTTACTCTTTTAAACACATTTAAAATCTAAAATAGAATCTATTTTAATAGCCTACCTTATTAGTATAAACAGCTTATTAAATACTTGTTTTTTTAGTATTAGGACAAAATAGAATAATACTATCACTTTCAAAAGTAAAAAAAATGCTCCTATTTATGGATATTTTCTAATATGTTCACAGTTTCCCAATTGTATAACTGTATTTATTTATTGAACATGTTTAGCCTTTGGGCAATATTTTTTACAAATAAGAAGGTTAAATAAAATATTTATTGTTCTGTCCATTATCTGTCTTTTTTCTAGCAACCAAGGTTTTGTTATGAACCTAAAGTTTAATTTAGAAGCTGAAGTAGACCAACTAGTTGAAAAACGTCATCGTCATCTTCTGCCGACCACACCACAGACTATCAGTACCTGTACAATTTGGCTAAGTTTGTGTTTTTGTGCAAGTGTTAGGTGTATATTACGACTCTTCACAACCATGGATGAAGAGGATTTTGTTCAACCACTTGGTGGACTTCAGCTTGAAAATGAACCTTTAAATTCAAAACCTTAGTCGCTAGACAAAAAACTGATAATTGACGGTACAACAGGTACTTGACCTTTTTATTTGTTGATTTGTAATTTAATTAAAGTTTGATGTTTCATCTTCGTTATTGTACATTAAATACAATTTGTTTTCTACAAACTAGGGTGTAAGCATAAGTATTGTTACATAGAATTCTATAAGAAATGCTTCCATAAAACATTATCACAGTGTCTTTTATCTATTCTATCTTTATCTTAACGTAAGGCTTGAATTTTGAATTCAATTTTAATCGATATGATTATTCAAAATTGAATCAAAACTTACTTTTATGTTTCACTCAGATTTTAATCAGCTCGAGAAAATATTTTGTTTGTACCGATTAGTTTAACATTTTATGCAAACTATAGATTTTTAAAGTACTTGCTTAATTGATTGCTATGACTGGCTTTCTAAAATGTAGGAAAATATTGCAAGTTGTCATGCACCGACAGTTTTCCTAGTAGGTGCAAATTGGTTTTATTATATATAAGATATTTCTAATCCACAAAACTGTTTAAAACATGATTTTGATCTTCAGAGATCTTCTTCAGAGGGAAGTTGCTAGGATGCACACGTTGAATTTCAAAAATTCTATCGTCATACTTTAAAGTCCCTCAGGTTTGCCATTTTTCTCAGGTTGGCTCTGGAAACACATAAAATAGAATTATTTGAATGATCGCAAAAATGGATTAATTTGAATGTTTCCAGTTTTTAGTGGTAGTACAGGTCCATAATGTATCTAGTTTTTATCTGAACAACGAGGTAAGCAAAGTAATTGATAAAAGTGAACTAATGTGTTTTCAACATTTTAACAAGATGGGTTAAAGTTAAACCACCTCTCTTAGCAAACATGCCAAATAAGTAAATTTCCAGTTGAGTAGGCACACCCATTTGAAATAAAAATATAAATAACAGTCAGCAGTTAAGTTTGATAATACAAAGTAATGACTTGTTCAGATTTAATTCAATTCCAAAATCTCATTTTGGAATAAAGATATTTTTCAAAACCTAATAAGACATACTCATAAATGAAAAACGTATACTAAATTGGTATATTTTCTAAAAGGTCAACATGCGAGACTCTTCGCTGGTAAACCACTATCTTGCCTCGAAATGGGTCACTTTGGGGACTAGTAGTGAATTATACTATTAATGTTCTCAATTGCGAAATACCACTTGCGTTGAAACTACTAACTAAACAGTTACTCACGTATGCTGTAGAAGAAGGTTGTCCAGTTGATGTTCATTATAATAGACTACAAAGTCTTTAGGTTTGATGCCTTCAAAGACTGCGACAACACTTGGTTTGAGATTGTAGAAGAACAATGGCTGTCTTCTGCGTGAAAAGTCTTGGGTCAACATTTCTATTACCTGTAAGTAACTTTGTGTTGCATTTCTCATTTCAAAGCAGTGCACAGAGTATATAAAGTAAAGAGGAACTTAATTGTAAAGAAAATTTGCTACTCAATTAAAAAAGGACTCAGTATTTTTTATTTTATTTTATGATATTACCCCTTGTAGTTATGGGGAGAAAGTTGGTCTAGTTTTACAGTGCAGGGATTCGGTCTCAGAGGGCAGGCTATGATCCTGCCAATAACCAATGGTTCTTTTCTGTAATATAATGCAGCAACCCTCTAGGTCTAGCCTGAAGTTATGTGTAAGAAGTAATAACAGTTCCACGCTAAAACCTAGCGAAAAATCCCTTGTAGTTTCAGACAAGACGTTAAATCAGATATAGTGTATGACTTTCACACATTTAATGAGCTAAAAAGACTAGCCTAAATACTTAACTAGCTAATAAACATGCATAAACTAAACACAAACAGCAAAGATTGGCAAGTGATAGTTAACTGCCAGTTTGAATATGCTAATTATAACAAATTCTCCCTAATAATAACCATCTGAAATTTTTGTGTATTTAGGTAATTATTTTTTTCCAGCTCTACCATACATAGATGAACTCTCAAATTCTCAAAAATATCTAAAATGGTGTCTCCTGTATATACTGCCTACTTTTTAAACAGCTTTACCTTATAGATATAATTTTCTTAAGCCAATTCTTAGCCAATTTCAGATTTGTCAAGTACATAATGTGGAAGGAACAGGTATTAATGCATTATAATTGTTGTAGATGTTGGATAAATTGTGCGTAAGCGTAATGAAAACCTGAAAAATATGGAGTCAAATATTAAGTGTAATAACCTAACCACGTGCTTTACCTTGGCCGCAGTGAAGTCCGCTCCATAGATATGAGAGCAGTCGATGACCACAGGGATGCCTTGCTTGATGCTGTGTTTTGTCACCAGATTGCTCACATAGTCCACGGAGGGAAAGATTAGACAACGGTCAGGAGTGAGTAGTAGATACTCGACGCCTCCTCGGCTCTGGAATTGATAGAGTAAATTTGTAATTGATTATAAGTCATAAGTCATAAGTATTTTATTGCATAAAACATTCTTCATTACAAAGGCAATGGTGAACAGATGCATGGTCAATCAATAAGTTATAAAAACTAAAAGTAATAAGTTACAACAAAATACAACAAGAACAGCACAATTGAGAGAAAGTTACCAATTCAAACAAGTTAGAAAAAAGACAAATTCAAATGAAGATCTTGAAGCAATATCAGAGAAAAAAACAATTAAAAACATTCTGTGTCATATTTTACATAAACTAATGGTCAATTAATGTCACGGTCATTTAGGAAATCTGCCAGGAAGTAATATGATTTCTCCACCAATAATGATTTAGTCCAAATTTTAAATTTTTGTGGTGTATAGGATTTTATTTTTGAGGGGATCTTATTATATAAACAAATCCCCATATAGATGGGGTTTTTTTCAAAATGAGAGTGTTTATGAATTGGATAATTTAGCAGATTTGGGTTTCGGGTATTATAACTATGAGTGGGTCTAAATTCATCAAAAAGTGTATTATTCAAATGAACAAAATTTACTGTTTCATAGATGTATAAAGAAGTCAATGGCATTATTTTTAATTCCTTAAAAGAACGACGACAGCTTGATCCATATTCTGCCCCTATCATCACTCTAATAATACTTTTTTGGACTTTAAAAACTTTGCTAATATCCCCTGAGTTTCCCACAGAACAATTCCATAACGAAGCAGAGAGTGTATATAAGCATAATAAATAATTTTTAATGTTGCTAGTGACACTGAATTTTGAATACATAAGGTCTGTTTTGATTAAGTAAAATTCCACTGAAAAGCCAATTAGTATTTTAAAAACAATGGTGTAAATAATAAAGGTGTGATGGCTCTATGGAGTCAATAATTTCATTTTTGAATTGCAGACTATACTCAAGAAAGTGCATCTCTTATATTTTAAATTGAGGCGGTGAATGTCTTATTTTGTTTCTGGCTAGTGCAAAAACTACTGATTTGACTGGGCTAAAATTGTACACAACATTAGATCAATAACTTACTTACATAACTCACATAGGTACACACATGCCACATACTTGAAGTACGTTTGGGTTATACTCTGTGGACTTCCAAAGTTTAGAGGTAGAGTTTTGAAAGTTACAAAGGTTTTTTGAATTTAAAGTCTCAAATGAGCTCCTACACAAAGCAAGCAAGCTCAAATCCAATATTACCTTGTATTTTTTGCTCACCATCATTTATCTGGTTCCAACCTCTGTGTATCTCATAGCAGTAGCCAATAACAATGAAAGGGAAAATCATCATTCTTGCCAAGAATAAATAGTATCTGGGATTAGATTTATGTGGTCTAATGGGTGAACTTCTATTAAGGTCTGTCACCAGTATACGGATGTATACAGAAAAACTTTGTAAAAAAATGTGCGTAAGAGTATGAGGGAGTTCATAAAAAATTGTACATATACAAGACGAGGCCTGCTGCAGACATCTATCAGTTTCCATTGAGCCCAGGAGGAGTGATTCCAAATGTGATAGTCCAGCTGCTGAAAGTCATTCATTTAGCACTACACAAGGAGCAGATTAAGCGTAATGATGAAAAGGATGTTTTGCAAGTGACAAGAATAATATAATATTCATTACTATAAATTACAACGTCAATTGTCGCTGGTGGTTGATTGAATCAGAGGCAGCCCTAAAGGCGAACAAGGCAGTGGCTGGGCCCCATCAGGTACCGCCGTATTTCAGGTTTTAAGAGAGGCCCGCTATTGCACTCTGCCTTGGGCCCCGCAATCTCTAAGACCGCTACTGGATTGAAAAGGGCTCACATCATATAGGATTCACTTAATGTGCATTTGATAAGTCAATAATTTTATAACACTGGTAAACAAAATTATCTCTGTCTTTCATCAAGGTTTTACAAAGGTTAAGCCTTTATACCTTCATAATCTCCATGGATATCTTGGGCCGGGCTGCGTGGTAGAGAATGCTGATGAGGTTGAGACCAATCCCTATGAGTATTCCGACCTCCAGCTTCAACACGAGGCAGGCTATGAAAGTGGCGATGCCAGGAATCAAATCACTCTCTGGAACAAACAATTTAAACAATATAGGAAAAGGCAACAGTGCGGTTACTGTTCAAAATCAACCAAATGGTAGAAGTTGCGTGGACAGTTAGTCGCAATTATGTTAGATAAAACTTGTATAACTGGGAGACGTTATGGAAACAATTGACTTAAGAACAATGGTCAGAGGTGTGAGAGATGCATTTGCTGGTTTGAATGCCTATTTTGGCATCACATCAGTACAATGGGATATGAAACAGAAGAAATATCAACAGGTTTGAGGACAGATTTAATACTATAATGTTGAATTTTGATGAGCTTTGCATACATCACAGTTGAAAAATAAATAATTCTTTATCAGTTCAATACAATTTACAAGTAAAATTCTCAATAGTTTTCAAGTTCAACTCAAGTGGTAGGTACACACAAGATGTTTTAGTTTTTTTTTTTAGTTTAGGAGTGTTTTGAAGGAAAACGATTATGCCAAGTTTATTACAGTTCATGGCTAAGCTTTTACTCATCATCTCAGATGGGTAAAAACATCTTGAACAATGATTCTGGGTTTTGTTTGAATTAAATGGACATTAAAGCAACTATTTATTCATTTTGTACGATTTTCCGTGCTAAAAATAAATTTATTTGTTTTTTGCTGTTGTGTTTTGCAACAGTTATTTTTTAAATAAAAAGTTTAGATTTCTGGTTGTCGCCTCATGGTCCAAGTTTCAATCTGACTTGAATTATGCGGGTTTCAGCTCAGCTGCCATCATCATATTTTTGTTCTAATACTAAAACTTATCTTGCCTAAAAAGGTGCTGTTTGTCAAAAGTGAAAAACTAAACTTATTATCACATAGTACATTACATAAAACACTAACCGACCGTTCAAAATCATTTTTAAATAAGCCTATAATCTTGTGACAAGTGAACGGACAACAGCAGGGTAGTGATGGCACGTGAGGCATGTGTCAAGACCTGACTAAAGAAGGGGATTGAACTAAGTTTGGTATTTAGTGTAGTTAAATGTGATTGTACCGTTAACGCTCACTTTTTGACCTGTAGATAGGCTTGACCACTCTGACCTCAACCATGAACACCACAGCTGCTACGATGACTGCTGCAAGAACTGTCTTGGGGATGAAGAAGAAGTAGGGAGTGCAAAACATCAGGGAAACTATCACTAGGATACCTAGAAAACATCACTACTTTAGCTTGTCAAATGGTTACTAGAAAAAAAAGGAATGAAAACAATTAAAGACTCCCTCTCGTTAATTCTTATACCTGAGAGATTAAAGATCTGAGAAACTTTGTGTGCATCCGGTTTCTCAAGACGTATGACAATTGGCTACGTCATGTTGATCATTATACTCTATTCTTTCAACTGCTGCCAGAAGTAGTCACTTATCATCTCCCGATAACATTTACCGTTCACTATACTTGCATAGCCATGGGCATTTAAAAAAAAATACACACAACTATTTTTTTAACTGGTTTTAACAATATTACACACAATTAATCGAATAACGCTTCATAACAATGAATATCATTCAAGTCTATGTCCAATTGCTAAACAGCTGTTTATCTTGCACAAGAACACATTGCTACTAACTCCAAAATGGAGTCTTACCGGTGTAGAGCCCTCCAAGAGGAGTCCTAACGCCACTGGAGTTGTTGACAGCACTCCTGGACAGAGAGCCGGAACCGGGAAAACTGTGACAGAAGGAGTTTCCAATGTTACAGAGACCAACGGCTATCAACTCCTGTGTAGCATCTACAGTCTTGCCATTGGCTGAAACATCATGAAATCTTCATCAATTACTTGCTTCAAACAATCAATCGCTCTTTAATCAATATCAATGCATCAAAAAATTGTTATTTGTCTTTCCTTCCCATCATAAGACGGTAGGCTCTAGGTTGGAACTGATTTACATTTTATATTCGACTGTACATTCTGTGGTACTTCAGGCTAGGCTCGAGGGTCGAGGAAGCATAATATTGTAAAAAGGTCATTGTTGATTGGCAGGATTTGAACCCAGGGACTAAAGCACTACACTATACTGCCATACAAGCTTGGACTATTTATAAATTTCTAATAAACTCATCAATTAAAGTAATAGTTTTTTTTAACAAACACCAAATGTTCAAATAGCTAAAATCAATCAATAGCGACACTTACCAAAAGCCTTACAGATCGCAATGTTCTCAAGCAAAGCGATTAACGGAGTGACAATAACTCCTTGACCCATCTGGGTGACCATGTCGACAAAACCGTAAGTCACGTTACCCTTTGTTACGGAGAATGGAGGCGGCTCAATGGTAGGAAGTCCCGGGGGAATATGACCTGTTAACAGATGGAAACTGTTCAGACTTCAAACAATTAAATACTAAATTAGTAAATTATTTACAGTGATAAGAGATAAATAAATTTTGGGATTCATAGGAAGTGAAGTTGATAATGATTGGATTCTTAAATCTCAACTGCTGATCCTAAATTAATAAAAAATAATAGTCAGTGTATATTATATAATCAGGAATTTAAAAGTAACAACTTCATATTCAACATATTCAGCTAAAAGGTTTGAATAATAGCAGAGGAGGATAAAAAGGACGTATAGTGATATCCAAATCAGAAATAAGAGGAAAGTGCCCTTATAAGTGGGAAAATATTAAGGAGAAACGGACAGTCAAAGTACATAAACCGTTCACAACACAGTTAATTTCATATTTTGTCTTGACAAGGAGGCATCTTCAATTTATATTCAGAATAGAAGACCAGTTGTAATATTTCCTTCAAAAGAAGTTCCCCTGTAGGAGCGAAAGAAATGTATTGTGTAGTGAACTTTAAGTCTGCTATCAACTCTGCCTGGAACTCTTTTAGTTTTGTATCCATTCCGGTTTCCTTCACGAATTAATCAGAAATAAGCAGTAGAGAAGACGAGATATTTTTCTGTGAAATGTTGAGTTAAAGTTTTCAACTATTAATGTATAAGTTAAAATCCTTCACTTGTATTAGTGGTGTATTTGTATACACCGGTGTACACAAAAAATACACACATTATTGTAATTAATCAGGTTAATTACGACTGATATACTTAAGATACATATTCACAACTTTTAAAACAGGTAAAGTTAATTGTCAAAATATAGTTAGAGGCAAGAATAAAGTAACTTACCAATTAGTAAGACTGCCTGTTCTTTCAAAGGAAGACCAGGTTGGTAAAGGTAAAACCCCAGAATACCTCCTACTATTACAAGGATCGAATTTCTAGAAGTACCGATCATCCATACCACCTGGAAACAAAAACTGTTAGGGTACACACATACAGCGATAACTGTAAAACGTAATATGTAATGTATTCAGAGCGGAGCAAGCGGGGCGATCTAGAGTGAGCTGTAGCGGCGCGACTGAGATTGACTGATCAGCACACATGCAACGACTAGCGAGAGCGACACAAATGGGAGCTTGATCATTTCCAAGAAATCACATAGTAAGTTCAAATGTGATTTGCAGCACAGCGAAAAACATGTGGCTAAAAACATTAATTTTGCGTGCTTCAAACCAATTGGAGTGATTGCATGGAGTGAATGGAGGATTGGAGGTACATGGTGAATTTGTTTCCAGTTCTTAAGAAGCATTAATCGCAATTCATGCAATACATATCTACCTCAACCTTTGAATACATTATTTAAAAAAGAGAAGGTTCCAAAATGCTCTGGGTAAGTTCTGTTTCCGGTAGAATGGGCGTACAGTGCGGCCTACTGGCAAAAGTGGAACTAAAAATGTCCACAAGATTGTTTGCCCGCTCCGCTCCCAAACGCTAGAAAAACAAACGAGATTGTTCCAAAGCTAACCGCTACGCTCATAACAGCTGTTTGTGTGCGCATTACTACATGATTGTATAGATTTGATTTTGTCGCTCTAAATCGCGCCTATCTGCTCCACTCCCAGTTGCTGTATGAGTGTTTCTACTCTTGTACACTGGGTTGATATGTTTATTGTTGTCACATTTATTTGTATCTGACAGTTTTATTAAGGACCCACTAGAAAAACAGGCCAGTCTGCAGGATCCATGACATCACACGTGGATGGATTCACTACCATACCCCATATGTTTCAAGTAAATAAGCTGGCTCTTTACTTCTGGCAACTTTAATACAACTAGCCACCAGTGTGACGTCATAGTGTTGCGCTGCCCGCGCTGCAGCATGGCCTCTTTTCCTAGTGGGGCCTTGGTTTTATTCAGATGGAAACAAACTGCTCTAAATCAGAATGTCAATCGTCATAGTGATTTTAGAACACCGAACCCTGTTAGATCAAAATATTCGTTAATTAATGTTTTAGCTCAAAAAATATCATAATTTTATAACAAACTTAACAGCTTCAACAAATCAATATGAAACAATTACAGTAAAAGGTAATTGACCTTATTGCTGATTTGGATGTATAGCACTTGTTACTGATAAACTTGAACTTGGAAGCCGATTAGCGAGTCATAAAGGAATTATCCGCTCCAAACAATTGTCTTAAACGATTAAGATCATCACTTGTTGATGTTTTGTCATTTAATCAATTTAAACTCTTTTTTTATCTCTTAAACCCCTCTTGTATAGGCCTAGTTAATTCTCTGATTATGAAATACCAAACACTTTATACAAATACAAACAAAATTGAAGTCAGAGAGAGCACAGATGTGGTCAAATGTTAGGAATTGCCAGTTTGAGAAAATTAAAAGTACGTAGTTAGGTACTATGTACACTTCTAAAACTGGCTTTAACCATTACTGTATTTGGATTTGCCATAGGAATATGCAATGGACTGTGGGAATACATTGAGGGCGTAAATATACTTATTGTATTACTTCAAAGTAAAATTATGCTACAATTTCAAGATATTCAAATTTTTACTTTCACCCCTTATATTGATTGAAATTGAATTGAATGATATTTATTGGCACAAAACGTACAACATATTACAGGATGTATGTACATTGTACAGGTGCTTCATCATAAATAAAATTGTCCTTATACAAGTTGTCTCTTTCCTTCTAGGTAAAATACATTTAAAAATCGTTATACAAATTATGTGAAAAAGTATTGTTTTGTCAAAATTTTGGAGTTAGTTGTGAGTGTAAGTATCCGTTTTGGGCCCCTCTGGACCAAAAAAAATAGTTTTTGAAGTGATGTCTGCTTGGGTATGTCTCTATGTATGTGTGTGAAACAAAAAAGAATGATAAAGTTTTATAAGTAGGTACCGTAACTAATCCATGGTCTCTACAGACGTTTTTTTAATTTTTATGCTTATATGTCCTTCTAACTTGAAACAAAATGGTGCAACCAAATGATGTGTGATGTTAAAATCACGACTCAAAAGCTATTGCAACTTTTATGATCTTCTTAAAATATGATAATTACTCCCACCGCTTGTCCATAATAATGGTTGTTGCCAAACTAACGGGGAAAAGATCTGTCAACTTGCTGATACCGTTTATTACCTTATTGAAGATTCTTTGGTAGCGAGTCCGTGCAACTCCGGTCCACTCGTCTGGTCCAATTTTCACGTCACTTAGAAGCTGAAATAATTTTAAAATTAAACTGTTTATCAGGTTGAATAAAGTATTTGAGGTATCACATTGAGAGGGTTTAGAAAACTTTCATAAACACCATAGTGTCTAAGTTGAGGAATATTTAAGCAAGAAAAAGAAGCATTCGAAGATGAGAAGCACTGATTCTATATGAATATTATGATAATGTATAGTTCTAATTAGTTTAGTTATAACTTAAAAGGCTATTAACTTGAAATTTTGTTGATAGTCGAATTATTTAACATATTTTACTCATGGTCATAGTACAGACTGTTCCAATGGAAAACAGTAAGTTGCAAGTTATCATGAAATTTTGATATGGTAAAAGCAGATTTTTAAAAAATCTCAGAATTAAAAGGAGTTTACTTCAGCCACTATTCACGAATTGATGTGTTATGTAAACAAAAAACAAAATATATATATATGTATAATATAGGCCTATATATATTTTTTTTTTTAATTGTGTTGGGCTGTTTATAGGTAAATAACCTCTTCAAAAGCTTTACTCAATCAAATATGTATACAACCTTACAGTATAATATCACCAATTAAAATTAGTGTGGAGAGTTAACTATAAAATTGCAACCAGTATTTGTGAGCGGATTTGGCAGCTGTGAATTATGAATTTACAAAAGTGACAAGTGCGGCGAAGTGAGCGAACCAATTGTAGCTGACATCATTGAGGCAAACAGAATGATTACGAAGGCCAAGGCCACCAGTTCAATTCCCCATCAACTCAAAACAATTGAGTGATTTGTGTCCTGAAAGTAGGTTAGCTGACGTCTAAGTGGGAAAAGTTATTGCTTGAACTTCTGTCGGTTGTGTTATAATTATTGATACAAAGTGTATCAATAATTAGTGAAAAACATTTGTTTTGAGAAATTGTGTGTCGTGAGTTGAATAGAATACAATGAATTCTATATTTTCAAAAGAAACTTGGGGAAAGTCTATTCCTGTGGATGCAATAGTTTTCCTTGGCCTTGAACTAACCGGAATGGGCAACCAGGAAGTTTAGAATTAGTGGTAGCTAGGGACGGAACTGGGAGAAATTGCGATTTCACCGTTAATTCCAGCTTGCATTTTACAGTTTCAATGTCTGCTGATTAGAGGGCTAAATGGTCTTGTGGTTAAAAGTCGAGAGTTTTGCCTTGAAGTCAAGGGATCAAATTCTGCCAATCGCAAATTACTTGAATTGGTGATTTTCTTTGTCCTAGGACGCTAGGCACCGGCCCGGGATTGTTTTTCACATTTACTTCAAGCTAGACCTAGGGGGGGCATTATCACTTAGATAAAATCCTTTGGTGAAAATAATAATATTATTCTTAAAATGTACTCTAGAGGAACACCAATTAATTAATCTCCTCTCTAATTAATTTTGGTATTTGATGTTTATTTATAATTCCTTTGGGTCAATCAAGAAGTTTTGATTTTCAGGATTATATATTAACCCCCTCTTATACAATTTTGTATAAAAATATTCTTGTCTTACCCTCAACAGAAGAAGGCAGAATATGCAGATGATACCCAGAAATGTATCCCAGAACCTAGTATTGTGAATGTCCTTGTATATTGATATGGCCATCTCCACAAACGTTGAACCAGCCGCTTTGATTCCTAGAATGTCTTTCACCTGAAAATGTGGGGTTTCAAAGTTTGCAAATGGAAAATGTTAGGACCTTTGACTATTAATATAACATTGAACTAGACAGACATCTCTTCCCCTGTTAAAGTTGTTGCAATACGGAAGAAAGTCAACTTGAAGAAAGTGACTGTATTACAGAACTATATATTTTTTTTTACTATAAAAGTTGCAACAGCTGGTCCATATAGATAAGATGTCTACTTCAGAGTCCAAAAGTAAAACTACACTTTGTTCCTATGATAAATCAGTTTTTTTTTACAAAAATGTTGTTCAAAGTTCAAATAATATACAACACAGAGTTACCGGTACTGTATTTTCAGTGGTACCAACCTGAGACATTAAAATAAGCAGTGCAACAGCTGAAGTGAATCCAGATGAAACCGGTCCAGAAATAAAATCTATGATTATACCTGGAAACAAAAACAGCTGATTAAGAATAAGAAGATTTAGAAATTACCATTCCATGGCCTCCTCTAATACAAGCCGAAGTGTTATTAAATTTTAGTCAATTTATACTTATTTAGTTATTTATATCAACTTTGTTCGACCAGCACATTTATCGTTTCACAAGGTCTAAGTAAGGTTAATTATCTGGACTAAATGTTTAGGTGTCTTTTCCCACTATATACAGTAAGATACCAATTATGGGTTGGCATCTTTGTTTACAAAATGTATAGCTCAGGTACTAAAGCTGGATTCTCCTAGTGCAGATGCGGAACACGGAATGCAGAGTCTTAGGTAATTTAATGGTACTGTTTTCCTAGAAGCAAAGCGGACCGCCATAGATATAGCTTCTCGGCATTCCACATTACGCTTCCCCGCTTAGGAAAACCAGGCTTTAGAGATAAAATAAACTTCCCCCTCCCCTTGGGAAAGATCTTTATACCCTTGGACCGAGTTTTCTCAGTTAAGTTAGTTAAACTCGATCCCTTTCCAACAAAATCCTAGTAAAAAATGCAAAATAAAACTTACCTAACCCAGCAATGCCCATGAGCAGTTGAATAACTCCGGAAAGAAAGCACAGCAAAGTTGCGTAAGCTGGTCCAAGATTTTTCAACGTTGTGTATGTAAGTAAGGAACATATAGCTGTGGGACCCATGGGGACGTCTTTACAGCTACCGAGGAATATGTACATGAACGCGCCAAGGAAGGAGCCATAGAGACCATGCTGCAAAAGGTGTAAAGTTATTTGCTTGTTAACAACTTTTGTATTAGATAAGGTTAGTTTTCATATATAAGGAATCTATCTTTATAGTGTAGATCTACCATCATCAAATTTTATTTATTGTGAATTAGTTATATTCACCTAGTAACTGCATGAATCGTACATAATTTTTGAAAGGTAAAAGGTATTATACTTTTTGTTTTGCCTTACAAACTAGTTTTTAACCATATTGAAATACTCAATTTGCTTGCAGAGGACCTGACAGATGTATGTGTTTATATTTGTGCGACAGATATTAAAGTACCACAAGAAACTACTGTAGACTCCCTCTTATCTGGACTCCTCAGAACTGTGGCCAGTCCGGATAACTATTTTCCCGTTAAACTGATGTCCATCAAAACTCGTTAAATCAGGAACGACTAATGTTTACAGCCAATAATTAGTTATTACGTGAAAATAGTAAAACTATACACTTTGGGATAGTTACTATAAAGACAAAACACCAGATATCCCTACATTACGTTCACTGCAAATTATATTTACCGATTCTCCTTTATCCATGCATTCAAAGGCATTACTAATCTTTTATTCAACTGTCACAACTTTACGCCTACGTTTGTCACTTATTTCTTAAAAAAGAAAACACTCTAAATATACGGAAAATCATATTAAAAACTACATACAGTCAAGTAAATCCACACAGCAGTATACTGGATAATACACGTTAATATTATTCTGTCCTTTAACGTTTGGTACAAATGTTCACAATAACCACAATTTAAGAGTATACACTGTATGAACGCGACTAACAATACAAGTGCATGCCACAGAAATCAGTCAAAAACTATCCCAAATATTTTACTTATATTTTGAAGAGTATTGTAATATGATACTGATCACTTAAGTCTTTCCCACGAGAAAAGTCATTCCTGTCGATTTGTCCGGTTAAGCCAATGCGCTGATACAAATTTTCCGTTTAAAGAGATACCACTTGTGGCAAGTGTAATTCGGTTAAACTGATGTCCGGATAAGAGGGAGTCTATTGTACTATGTCTTTTGAGGTAAAGCAACCCTTTAACTTTTCTTAGACAATAATGCCCTGGAATAGCTTTGATTTGACACCGACCTGTGCTGGTAGTCCGGCTATGTTGGAGTAAGCCAGACTCTGAGGTATTACTGTCAGGCCCACAGTGACTCCTGCCACCAAGTCTCCTACAGCATCCTCGGACGAATAGCCGGGCAACCAACAAGTGATGGGGAACCTGACAAAACAAGAGTGTTGTGAAAGTTGAGTATTTTTTTTATGTTTGTTATCACCATTGACATTTTTTAAGTTCTTGTCCGGGTCAATACCCTGGTCTTGTTACCATCTTGGTTCTTTGTACAATACTTGGTACAGTAGAACCTTAACTAACCGTCACCCACTTTGTTATCCGTCATCTCACTACAGTACTACTAATATTATTTTTAAATCTGCTTTTATTTCACTCTACGGACATTGAAGAAGTACAACATACAAAATAACAGTTCTAGTATTACTCTTGTATGTAAGTAATTTAAATATCTATTATTCACTTTACAGGATTTAATTTCTTCCAAAACCTTTTAAATCAACTTACTGATCAGGTTTATAACAGGATTTCTGTTATCCGTCTATTCCATTAACTGTAATGTTCCCTATCCCAAAGGTGGCGGTTAATAGAGGTTCTACTAGTACAGTGTTATTATTATAATTGCACTTTTATTATATTATTATTTTTTATATTATTTTATTATTATTATCATTTATTATTATTTTTATATTTTATATTTTAATATTTATGTATTTATTATATATATAATATTACTATTATTATTTTATTATTTTATTTATTAAACTATTATAAGTGCAAAGTATACTTATTTTAGCTTAATTATTTCTAATATTGATTATCCAGGGAAAACATAGCTTTGTTGTGTTTTTCAACAAAGGAAGAAAAAAAAGAAGAAAAAATACCTACTCTCTAAAGATATTAATTAAATTTTTCACAATTTTTTCCGTTTTAACTTGTATGGAAGGCTAAATGTTGAACTATTTTTTTACTGAAATAGTGACACAAAGTTGACTCATTTTTGTCCAGTTATCTTTATTACCAAAAGATAAGTCTAACGTCTGTGAATGTCTGTTTCAACACTATCTTGTCAATTTTACTGACATGTTTGACACTATTGTTGAGTAATCCTAGTTATGCTTGTACCTATAATAGTAATACTAGTTCTGTTAAACTATTTAAGGGGGCCCTTAATAGTAACAGGAATGAATTTAAACTATACTGTACTGTCATTTGAAATGGTTAAGTTTATCACTTTTTAAATAATTGGAAGGGACCATTGAACTTAGATACTGGGTAGACTTCTCATCCTAATTAAATGTCTTCTTAGAAATGCATAACAGCGGTAAAATGTATTGCAAAATGTGTATTTTGCATGATATGTTACAATTTTGATTGTGCGCTTCAGTCTTTTATTTATTTTATGTATTTGGAGAAGCAATAGAGTGTTAAAATAGATCACTTACGGTATGTATTTGATGAAATTTGTATAGAACCAGTAAAACAATAAAATAATAAACAGTAACCACGATAAAACATTAACATATCTTAACAGGTCAGAATAGGTCAATACCCTAAAATTATCTCTTGCTGATGCATATGGTAATAATAAAAATTTGAAAATGAAAGGTACCACCTCTACATCAAAATCCACACAACTGTGCAATGAGAAATACCAAATCAGTTACAAAACTTACCTCCTTTTCAGATTCTTTTTTGTCATCGACTTCTGTATCTTATGTGACACCCATGGTTTGATGTTGTCCACTTTTTCCTTAACACTGATTTTCCGATGAGGTCCCAAGTCTTCAACCACTGGAAAAACAATTTTCAACTTCATTTCTTAACTATTATTTTCTCATTCATGCAAAATTGCATTGAATTTATAATAAAAATATATTATCTTCCATAGAATCACTTATGTAGAGCAAATAAGAACCTAACACGATGGTTGTTGTGTTGCTGACAAAAAATTAAAATCTTTTCTAAACTAAATTAGACTTGTCACTACAAGATGACACCTACAAGTTCATAAAACTTCCTTACCGTTTACAGCTGTACGTAAACTGATAGGCAAGCCTTAACCTACTAAGCCAATGTTACTCCAAAGGTCTCTAATCTCTTGCACAATGTCAGTTGTGAGTTTACTAGTAGTTGTAGTAGCTATTACTGTTCTGGTATATCGTTAATGTACAAATCTGAAAAGATAATGTTGTGCACTGAAAATTAAACACCAATTTGGCTACTCATAATACCAAAAAGGTAATCAATCGATTTCATCTCGCTCTAGTGTAGTCCTGCGTAAGTTATTTGTGTCACTAGTGGACGAAGTGGCACTTTGCTGCACACGAGAGGCTAGTGTGGAAAGTTTCTCGAGTGTAGCAAAGGCATCAGTTGCATTTGCCTTACACATTATATTGTTTCTACAGTTACTATACAGGGTAGTAAAAAAGTCCCAGGACAGTTAAATATTTTTAAAAAATAATGCAGATAGAGCTACAATACTTGGTACAAAGTTACAGGGCATAAAACTCTATTTTAACACATATTCAGTGATCCAATAAATCTTCAGGGGGACGGCCCACAAGGAGTCGGAAGAAAATCTTAAAAGAAGCATAGGTCAATATGCACATCAAATTAAAGGTCTTTTTTAGTAGAATACAATGCCGCAAACCGCACTTCAAAAGGTTGATCCTGCGCAAAATGACAGTTGCTCAAAGATTCATTTAATTTACATTGCTATTATACGCTTACTCTTCAGGGCACAGCCCTAGGAATTGGAAGAAAATTGTTAATGTAAGCATAGGTCGATATGCACATCAAATTAAAGGTCTTCACTAGTAGATTACGATGCCGTAAATTCAAGCTCAAAAGAATGCCTGAGTAAAAAATGGCAGTCGTTCAAAGATTCAAAATGGCGGATTCAAGAAATCTTTGAACATCGGCCATTTTGCGCAGGATCAACCTTTTGAAGTGCGGTTTGCGGCATTGTATTCTACTAAAAAAGACCTTTAATTTGATGTGCATATTGACCCATGCTTCTATTTAAGATTTTCTTCCGACTCCTTGTGGGCCGTCCCCCTGAAGAGTTGTTGGATCACTGAATATGTGTTAAAATAAGTTTTATGCCCTGTAACTTTGTACCAAGTATTGTAGCTCTATCTGCATTATTTTTTTAAAATATTTAACTGTCCTGGGACTTTTTTACCACCCTGTATAGCATATACATAATTAATCTTTCAAACACTGTAAAACAGGTTTTTATGTTAGGTTAAAGTATATCTTTAAGTGTTGCCCAGTGTTGCCAACTTTTTTTGAGCGTACGGTATTAGGTGCTTAATAAAAGCACGCTCTGTTTTGTGTTGTTTGACTGGAATACTGGTGTGCGAAAAAAAACTGTGCTGCAAAAGTAAATAGATGCAGCAATTAGCATCTTTCTGTGCTATGAAGTGCAAGGAAGGCAACTTTGTTAGGTGACTGTAGGAAAAATTATTTTTCTTACTCTTTAAGTTCTACAAAATAGATTGGAAAGAAAATGCATTTTTTGTTTGTTTTTGGGGTAAAAAATAGAAAAAAAACCATATTTACCCCATAAAAACCCTATTCTGATCTTGCTGGTTCGCAAACTTGTCGGAATAATTGTAGGTTATTTACTTTGTACCAAATTTTATTGAAATCGGATGAGTTGTACAACTCAAGTTACTGTGCTAACGGACACATTAAAATTTTTTTACGAATTTCAACATTGGCCTGTGGGGATCTTATTATGATAAATATAACATTCCCGAGGCTTACCATGAGTCTTAAAGGTACCTAATAGTTTTTCCCTATAAAATGAAATTTGCTGAAATTTAGAGTATTCGACTACAAATCTCTACTCAACTACTTTTAATTTCAGCAAGTATAAAATTCTACTTACTCTTTCTACTTCAAGTAAACTTAACATTTTGTTTATCTTTTGCCAATAGTTCATCAACATCCGTTTTAGATAGTTAGATCGTTTAGCAAATTATGAAGATCATTGAATTAAAATTATGTAATCTTGAGATAATTATTATCTTTATGATCGCTTGGGTCAATACTACTTAGGATAGTGCTAGTACACAGTGTTAAGAGTGGGATTAGTGTTTAACTATCGGAAAGTTCAATTTGTAAATTGCTTACGGTATATTGTTTTGTATAAACCACTTGGAAATAATCTATGCATTAGTTAAGTGAGAGAGGTGTAAATGAAGTTGTAAAAATACTTAACGTGTCTAAATTGGATTAGAAACTGGTACTTGGAATACTTGGAAAGTTACTAGTATAGGTATCTGGTACTTTGGAAAACAATGAGACAAACTTCAATAATATTTTAATAACATAAAAAGTGCTTATATCATGTGGTATTTTATTCTAGTCTACACCTTTTCTAGTTTTATTTCAGAAAGTTTCAATTGTATTTCAGAATTGTCGTTTTTATTTCAGAGAGTATCATTTGTATTCCAGACTAGTAGCTTTTATTTCAGAAAACATCAATTGAATTTGAGAATAATAAACTGAATTTCAGAAATACCCATATGTTTTTGAGAAATTGTCTCATTAACATTCAGAGTTAGTCAAATGTATTTCAGAAATTAATACTAACATTCATTATAAACAGGATCATTCCAAAATCAGCTGAAATTCCTAATGCTGAAAAAAGTTGTTTACACTATTATTTCTGAAATATAATAATAATTTATATCTTCTGAAATGTAGTTTATACTATCTACAATTGATATCTTCTGAAATGCAAATAATTGTTATATAATTGTTTATGATCATTTTTTAAATAAAAGTGTTATCTTCTTAATATAAAATTACTATTCTGAAATACAATTGACACTTTCTAAGATTAAAATATTACATCTGAAATACAAATGACGATTCTAAATACAATAATTGACCCTTTCATAAATGAAAGTGGAAAAGGTGTAGTTGGATCAGCTGTTTCTATAAAGAATAGTTAAAGGAATCCTTCAACTTTAACCCCTGTTCAATGCATGTGGAATTTAATTCCTTAGACATTGATATATGGAGTGTCTTAGGTCATGGACCAATGAAATGATTCAGTGACTTGAAAAATATTGAGAACAAATTACTCTTTTTACTCGTTAAATTGACTTTTCTTTAAAATACTATTGGTTCATCTGGTAAAAGTTTTTTTTTCATATCATGCAGAAATAAAGATATATTTTAACGGCAATTTGTGAAAGATTGTATAACACTAGATTATTCATTGTGATTTTCTCAGTGATTCATTAGATACATCTAGATTTAAACTCTTACCTTTAAAATATTATTTGGAAGGTGAGATTTTTGTGTGCCAATCCAGTTCTACTCTATCCTGACCTTATTCTTTATAATGACTTTATTATAATTTTATAAATTACATTGTGCGCTACATGTGCTGGGGTTTAACTGGTGAACAATCATTTTGTAGATCATAAATTTTCCCAATTATTTTAGTTTTAAAATGACAATGGGACTCTTGGCGTACAATTTTTGTTTAATTTTGAATTATCAATTGATATCCCAATGAAAAGGCATTAGGGTCCAGCAGAATCGAGACCTCCCTGAATTGAACCAGCAAACTTCACATTTGTGGCTCACAATTCAGTTAGCCGGACAGTTTATACAATATATAGGTACAGATATTAATATTATTATTCCAGAAGAAACTGCTTTTTATCCTCTAAAGCCTTTTGGAGAACTATTCAACTTACATATGAAGTCATCACTGCCGACACTAACTGACTGTTCATGCCTTTGTATAAACTTGCGCTGAAATGTAGGGGTTGTGCTGGTCGAGTGGTCCACTTTTTCCCCTCCACCCTCTGTCATGCTGGCCTCTGGAACAAAGTCAAAGAGGCATCTCAAAGAGGCATCAAGTTAGAAACAACTAAAGAGGCACCAAGTTACAACTATAACTATAGGGAGGAAACAACTATAATCAAAGAGGCATAAAGTTAGGAACAACTGTTATCAAAGAGGCATCAAGTCAGGAACAACTATAATCAAAGAGGCATCAAACTAGGGACAACTATAGTATAATCAAAGAGGCATCGACTTAGGAACAAACATAAGCGTAAATCAGGGTAAAAATCATCTGGTTCGATTTAGCATAAGAAAAAACTGAACATTTAACATCAGAGACGGAAAAAATGAGCATAATGTTATGATAGGAACAAACTTTACAGTATTGATTTGGAATCACAGTATGAGCAAACTCAGTTGACTTAGTATCATAATAGGCATAATAGGAACAAAGTGAATGGATTTAGCGTCATAGTAGGGAAAAACCGAGTTGATTTAGGGTCATAGTAGGAACAAACCGAATTTATAGAATGTCGTATGATATTTAAAAAAAACTGCACCACAGTAGGAATAAATTGGTTGATTAAGTAACGTAGTAAAAACAAATTGGATTGATTCTGCATCACGAACATTAGTAGGATCACACTGAATTGAAATGTCATAATAATAACAAAATTAATTGATTATTATTAAGTCTTAAAAAGAAAGAAGCTTAAATCTTTACACTTTAGAAAGGGAGAAAAAAACTATATGATTAAGGACAAATTCATTTTAGTATTGAGAGTGGACATTATTAATTTATTACTTATCCTGCAATATTTTGGTAGGAATGATTTGTATGGTTTTATTTGTGAAAAATAAGATAATTTACGACATATAATAATAGAATAAGTAAAATGGATTACTTTTGGATATTGTAGGCAACATTTTCAATATCTATTCAAGATACACTTTATTGATGAAACAGTATTAGTGGGAATTTAGTTTTAAAGAAAAAGTTATTTTAAAATGATTATTTTGGGTAAAGAGCAAAATTTCATTTTTGTTCTATCAACTACTAACACAAAAGTAAGTATTTTGCAATCAAAACATTGAACAATAAAACATCAAAAATAAAAATAAATAGGCTAATATGTCGTTTATTTTATTTACAATTTGATTACGAAGCAATATAAGGTGTGTTTCAGGGTTGAAATTCCGGGAATCCATAATGATTTTATAATACAAGAATAGATTTCAATGACGGATATTATTTTTCATTGTGATCTATAAATGAATGTGAATCTATAAACACTATCACTATAAATAAACACATGACTTTCAAAACCCAGGTAACGATATAGTTACGTAAGATTACAGAAATTACAGTTTTCAGACAAATTTTTAAAGTTCAAACTAAGGTTTATTAAATACTAAATATTTTCAATTCTGGATATTATTTCTGTTAAAGAGTTACAGTATTTACTGTCCTCATAAAAGACATTACCTTGTATTTTTGACAAACTGTATAAAATAATTTTTTTATACTAGCATAAATCCTTTTTATATTTATACTCAACAAATAATGTTTACATACGAATATGTACAAGAACCATACCTATGGGCATTTGCAGACGAGGAACTTGAAGTAGGTCCATTTAGAACAAAATTAAAAACTAGACTGGAGAAATAAATAACAAACTGTGAATAGTTCAAAGGAAGGGCAGCTAAATATACTTACTTAAAAATATCAACCTGGAATGGATATGATTAAGCTGTTTAGTTTATTTTGGTCCTCATTCCTCTCAATCCCGTGGACAATATTAGACCCACATCTTCGAATTATCTATTTAATTGAGCGGAGCGAGCGAAGCGAGCGAAGCTCTTATACTACACTCCTGCTTTTTTATTACAAATACTCCTCCTGAACGGCTGAAGCGATCTTCACGAAATTTAACACAGTCATAGTACCCAACCATGGGAAGGTATAAATCTGAAATGGTACAAATCGGACCATAGGAATATTCCCTACATGAATGCAAACTTTTAGAAATTTAACATGGGCCTTATGGGTTAATTGGTTGCCATGACATTATTTGCGAGTAAACAATAAAAAGTAAACAAGAGCCTCGACATATGTTAGTCAACAAATCTACCACATTATAAATACAGTACAAAAGAAAAAATCTGATGAATACTAAAGAGCATATTAGTTAATTGCATGTAATACGAAGTGATTAACAATCAGTCATATATTGAGTGATTAAAATCATGACGTTTATATTTAATTGTATAATCGTTCTGTTCTTTTTAACAACAATGAATAGTCAACTAATTAGGCCTAGGCCTATGTAGCGTGGAGAAGGAGAAGTTAAAACGAGGGCATTAAAAAACACTATAACATAATTATACCGACAAAAATCACACTGCCCTTGATTTGCAAGTAAATTTGTAAAAAAATGTACCTGTAGCTAAAAATACAAAATAATTTTACGAAATGAAATCACAACCACTTGGTTTACAGATAAGGTTTACAACTAAATGGTGTAACTTAGACAATAAAATCCCAAAGGATTAACACTAATATTGCTGTGTGCACTTCGAAAAGAATTAATCATTAATTAAATTAGGACTATATGCTCCTCTGTCAAATTCATGAGAAGATGTAACAACGTCGTTTTAAACCAAATATGCCTACTGGTAGGCCTATTGTCTACCACCTCGCTTTACTCTGCGATACTAACTTACAAAATAGTTTTAAACATTGCCATGTAGTAGTCTAAAGTTAGGTTGGAAAAAATATATAGGTTCCAGCTACTAGGAATAATAAGGTTTCAAGTTAAGCAAACTGCTTATTTTGATGTCATTATAAATGTTATGTAACGTACCGGTAAACCAATTCCTAAAGTTTTCACTTATTCTTTGTAGTCTACATTATAGTCGTATTGATAAATTGTATTGCACCAAAGGGAAATTTTGAAAGTGGTTGACAATATATTTCTTACTTTTAACTGCTGAAATAAAACTAGACCTAATTATATTATCGATTAGCCTATCTCAATTATTCGCTGTTAGGAAATTATTACAAACAAAAAGTTAATGTATTTATATAAAAAATGCATTCTTATCACAAAATTAAATTATAAATGTCTCAGATAAAAAAACTGATTAGTGAAGTTAAGAGAAAATCATATTTTAACAAAATCAGAAGCAAAACTTTAAGGCCGCCGAGGAGATTCGAACCTGGGATCTCAAATAATGCACGTTATTGCCTTTTAATAATTCAGGTATCGCATAGGTTTACCATGATTCATTTGCAGGATATAGAAATTATTGAGCAGAGCGTAGCGAAGCTCTTATCATTGACTTTATAACTTCTCTTATACTACACTCCTACTTTTGATTAATAGCATTGAGCATAATTTACTACAAAATGAATAACCATAAGGGTTGCCAGAATTAGGCTAATGCACCATATTGCGTTTGGATACTGTAAATAACTTATACAGTATTTTATGTGAGCAAGACGTGCCATTAATGTAGACTTTGAATATGTACTGCAATTCCTATTTGCAGTGTACAAATAGGAATTCCATTAAGGTGAACCAAATATAACACTCATAGTTTCGATACTGCAATTACACAATTCGTTGACATGAACCCGACGCATAATTGACTTTAAATACTGCACATAGACATCCCATATAAGTGAAGCAGAAGTAGGCCTAAGCCTACCATTGACTTCGGATACTGCAATTCGGCATTTTATTTAAGTGAACGAAATAAATGGACCATGATTTAGGATACTGCAAGTAGACTATTCATTTACATGTACCATTGAGTTTGGATACTACAAGTAAACAATCCGTCTACGTGAACCGGACGTACAATTGACTTTAGAATCCTTAAATTGGCATTACATTTATGCGAACCAAATGTATCATTGGCATTGGTTACTGAAAGTAGACATTTAACTTATGAGAACCAGATGAAACATAGAATATGGTTCCTGCAAGTAGACAATTCATTCACTTAATCCTGACTTATGATTGACTTTGGATACCTACTGCAATTAGGCATTCTATTTAAAATGCGAACCAAATATATCATTGACATTGAATTAATATGCTGGCTCCGCTCAATATTGCAAGCAGAAAACTGCATTGTACACCTAGTATAAAGATTATTAGGGAGTATATTATTTGAATGGTGCAGCAGTAAAAAACAATGTCATAAGTAAAAGTGTAACGGAATTGATTATTAAGGAATGTAAACCCATACAGAATGAAATATGTAATAAAAAATCTGTAAATAATAATTTTCATAAATAGGAAAATTAAATAATTACTTTTTGAAAGCTCTAGACCTCAATTACTTACAGGATACATATTTTAATTATGACAAAATTACAGGTACTAGTGAATTTCCCTTTATGGAAGAAGCTTACCGTAGGTGGCAGAAAAAGACGACTTGTGACCAAATTAATTTTTAATTTTGATGTCCCCAGAGGCCAAAACACAATTCGTTCAAATTTGTATATAATGTATGTAAGAGTGTGTCCGTGAACATGTTAAACTCAAGCAACTTTGGTCAGATTTAGATGAAATTTTGCCTGGATAAGTAGAGCTGGCAAACAAAGTGTTATTGGGTTTTTTAATTTTCAAAAATATTTTTTTTTATTTTTACCTATAAAACATGATAATATACATTTATCATTCAAGCTTTAGGACCTTAAAAAACAAATAATATTGTACTTCATTTTAAAATTCCTATGTTATTCTTATAGAGAAAAATAAATCTGCTGTAGTTTGTTTGTTTACGGGTGTATCTTTATCTAAATTTGGCCAAATTATTTTTTGTATATTTTATAAGAATAGATCACTCTGACTGAACAGTAGACTAGAAACTGAAGCTGGTCATTCACTCTAGACATTGGACTAATCAATTTTGCACGCCAGTTAAAGGGTCATTTTGCACTTTCTAAGGAATTGAACTTTGAATTGCAGTTGTCATTGATATAAATAAATAGTTAAAATGTATGTATACTCGAAAAAAAAAAATAAAAATCGGTAAATGCACTTGTTTAAAAAATGCAATAAATATGATTCCTATATAATACTTTTATTTCCAAGAACTTAAATGGCCCAGTGTGATCAACTGCATCTTAGGCCTCCGTCTTAAAAATTCAAATAAATATTTGACATTGATTCAGTATAAGATATCAGAAAATCGAACATTGTGGTCTTTATTTATTGCACTTAAAATATTTTGATATTTTGAAGAAAGTGCAATTAATAAAGAATTAATTAAGCAATTAATTAAGAAAGTGCCTGTTTCGTTAATTTCACTTGTATAATATTAGTTTATGATTTATTTGAATAGAAAACGTTGCTACTACTAAAATACTGAAATAACTGTGTAAAGTTAACACTACTTATTGTGAGTGGTCATAGAATTACTCTTGGGTGTTAAAAGAATAAAAGCTTGATGAAGTTAGGAACTTGTTTATCAGTATTTCTAAAGGTATGTACGTGGATGAAATGTTCACTCAAAACAAACTTCCAACAGTTCTCAAGCCTAACATTAATTAATTAATTAAAGGTTAGGTACTAAAGCAAAATAAAACGACAGTCATGGACTACCTACGTTCATCGATAAGCCTACGTTTAGCGAGAAATAAGCAGACATTTCAAATTTCAAACAATTCAAATTTATATCAATCTTTAAACTATTGAAGCAAACGAATATTCATTAAATATGTTTAAAGATAGAAATTTAAAAAAAATGAAGCTTGGCTAAAGAGGAGGTTTAAAAACAATTTTACTATTGATTTTTTTATCTATCCTTGAACTTTTTGTACTTACTTTCAGGACACCCGGTATCAAAGTGGTTAACGAAACTAAAAAAAAGTAATAATATAGTATGGTACACACACAATTTAAATACATAACCTTACCTTATCAACAATGCTGTGTGTATGGTTCTGCCGGGCACAAGCACTGTTAGTAGGCACTAATACTGATATGATAACTAATAATCAGCTGGCTACTGACAGCATCTGTTCGCCGATCCCCCCCCCTCTCATCACAACAATGCTACCCCCACTTATCCACAACTACTCCCCTACCATTCCTAAAATCTGTCAAACCTTACTCAACATAAAATCACTTATTCTAGCTTTTATATGAATACTGTACTTTAAAATGTTATGATAAATAGATGATTTTACAATTTAAGTATTTTTCGTCAAACTGCAGCAAAAAGGACTGTTTGAATTCATACGTACGGGATAAAGTACTGTATAACTTTTCATTAAGAGTCTTCCGTAGTGGAAGCCATGTTGGATTTCTTCCCCATAAGAACAATGTTAGAACATTACATATTTGTGGACACGTAACGGCGTTATTTGTTAAGATATAGCTTTGAAATTTATAATTTGTATTTTTAACATAATAGACTTTTCGAAATTCAAAAACCCATTTTAATTTCCTTTCAATAATTAGCTTAATTTTAAGCTAATTAATAATCAATTATTCATTATACAAATTAAAAATTGTGAAATAAAAAACGTCAATCTCTAGAGGACCGCAATTCCTTAAATTGAACTCCTTATCCATAATTATTTGACAATTTGCTGATGAGATATTTGGACCCAAAGTTAACATTGTTCTTGTGGGGAAGAAATCCAACATGGCTTCCACTACGGAAGACTCTTAAGTAAATAGTAATAAGCTGAAATCCATTATTAGCTGCACATTTACCCTTTGTAAACTTATTTTGACGAAGAAAATACTTCTCACTCAAATATATATTTCCAGTTTTCATATAGTATTTTAATTGATTCGTGTTTATTATTGTGAATGCTCCTTTATTGATAATTACACCAACTAAAATGTAGCAATTACTACTCTTACAACTTAGACTTTACTGAGAGTCTAATCCAAACAAATAAAATACAGCGTTTAGTAGTATAATATAAACTAACCAACTAATTTAAGGGAGTCACTGTTATAATGCTGTTTATTTCTGAATGTTGTACAGCAATGAATGAAACATCACAAATAGTAATTGTTGGAGTTATTATAGATTTACAAATCTATATTACTCAGCATTTTTGAGCAATATTGCTGTTTTTAGTAATACTTTGGAATACATTCTTTGATAATACATCAAAGAATTTGGAAATATTTACCTGTTCCTTAGCGAATTTTCTCAAACCTGCCTTATGACCTTGGACTAAGGTTTCCTTGCATAAACCAACTCCCTGATTCCTGGTCCTGCTTTAATGACGCAAGCCCAAAGTGCAGTAAAGAAAGTGCTTTGCTGAAGAAGTATTACCCTATGGATTTGATGTAACTTAGTGCCTTAATGAAATTAAAACTGCTTGAGCAGCTGATCAACTGATACGAATGTGGTTAGGCCTACTGTTAAATAACATATTTGTATGTATGAAATGGTCTTCGTTTATTTTCATACGTGACTTCGGAGCGTACTCCTAGTTTTATATTTAGGACTACATAACTAACAAAGTGTGTTTTATATTTTATAGCCCTTACAATATGTTGCATCATAATTATTATAATAAAGTTCCAATTTTGCCACAAAAGAGACCAGATATAAATTTTAATATGGACAAGATGAAAATCTCGCTACGCCAATGAACCATTTGATATTCCTCTTTGCTCGAGGCAAAGTCAAACTGCACAAAACGGCTGGCAGGTTACCAAGTCAAACCCGTTTAAAGTCAAATCAAAGACAATAAAATAAAGGCACGTTGTTTGCACAGCTTTTAGAAGTCTATGAATGATTCAGCTCGTGTGTTTGTTTTAGCTTTCTTTGGTCTGCCGATGGCTTTGAAACTTGTTTACAGGTTGAATAAAAATGGCCACTACAGGAGAAATGGATTGTAATAGAATGAAATGATTTTTAGATGACTGAAAAAACAGTCAAAATTCATAGTTTCAAGCTCATCTTTGGTTAGTTTTTGTCATTTAAGGGGGATTGCGGACATTTTCCATCATTACATGAAAAGCTTACTCTTTTCAATCGTTATTTTATTAAATAAATTTTAATTAATATCAGACCTCTCTTAAATAGACGTAATTTGAAAATATGGAGGCCTTTGGTAGAAACATAGGTACAGTATAAGATAAAATCAGAGTTTATTGGTATGAAAAAAAACGTGATACATTGTAACTACCAGGTATATCTACAAACATTTATGATGCAAATTAAAATAACAAAATCTTAAATAATAGTGCATTTTTTATAAAAAGAAACTCCTTCAAGAAAATGTATAGATCTAAAATCGAAAATTAAACGATAATTCAATCTGTGAAATTCATTACACATAAACTCTAACAGATAAAATATTAAAAAAAAACACTTTTACCAATTTTCATTAGTGTTATCAAGGGTCTCATCTTACTCTGTAGTGTGACAATTACAAAGTTGCCGACAGTCTGTGTTGTCGGGGACATGAAAAGACTTGTGGGTAATTTACAATTAGCCCAATCAAAAACAAGTCAGACAGCACTGCCAACCTTGAAACTAAAAATATCGTTGTTGACAATGATTATGATTATGTATAGGTTCAGGAGAATAATTTACAATTTTAATTGTTTCATGCAATAAAATGTTTGCAATTATGTCATTACTTAAATCTGCCGTGAATTGTATGTTTAAAATGCTTAGCCAAATTTAAAAAATATATTTTGTTTATAAAACGAAGAAAACCAACTTGAATTGAGAAGTTGACAATATTGTGTTTTGTTTCTAAGTCCAGTTTTATATCTGTAGTATACACAGGAGGGCTGTTTTGGTATAAAACCGAATCGAAACTTGAACTAACCTGTTATAAGCGTTGTCAGCTTACGTGAAAAAAGGTGGCAAAATCTTGGCTGTTTTGATTTAAATACAGCTATATATGTGTCCATTAGCACGAAAAATCAAGAAAATCATTAGATTTTGATGAAATTTGGTACAATTGCAAATCGCATAAACCTACGTTTATTTTAACGAGTTTGCGAACCTACAGTCTACAGAAACTGGATTGGTTGGGGGGGGGGGTTAATGGGGTAAAATTCGGAGTTCACAATTATTTCCTTATTATACACTTTCTTAAATTCTTATAACTTCAAAAAAATCTAAAAATTACAAATAATTTACTATGTTGAAGCGTTCATGTAAAATTTATACCAAAGATAATATTTAGAAAAAAACCCACTTTATAACATTCCTTTTTGCAGCAAACACAAACCTAAGTACAAATTAAACCTAATGTTATTTCAATAGGGAATAAATCTGACAAAAAATATTTTAGTTGAAATACGATAATAATTTAAAATCACTCATTCTGCTGCGGCGGGGGTTTATTCAATCGCTAACAGCACAGAGAGTTTGATATTGAAGTTTTTAACGGTGGAAAGGTTAAACGAATTCAGCATCTTCAACGTAAGGCAATAGACCTCACCTATTTACACTTCTTGAGATTCTTGATAATACATATGGAACATTCTGAACGTTTTTGTTCCAACCCTTAAACATTGGGGTGCATTTAGAATCTGTCAACCAGTGCTTTGCGTGGAAACTTCGTCTAAACAGTTGTAGCGTAACAAAATCTAAACATTAAAATTTTAAAATAAAAATTGAAAGGACACTTGAGATATTATTTATAACACTATATTGGGGAACGATACACTTTGGTGGTGCAACTAACATGTGTAATTAAGAGTATCAATCATGCATAGCAACATTAAAAACATATTTAAATAAACTTGCATTGCAACCTTAGAACATAAGGTAGAAATATCGTTCTAGGATAATATTTTAAATAACAACGACCTATAATAGTCAAAATATTTGCTATTTGAATTATGATCTTCTTTTGGTCAGTCAAAAAGCTAGACGATGGTACTTTAAAAAAGCAACCCTATTTTTTAAATTTACTGAAAGCAAATAGTTATTACCATACCAAATCTAGCCTTCTTGGCTAGATTTGGTCTGAAGTCGTTTTTTTTTTTATTTGAACCCTAATAAGTACGGCTTATAAATAATTGATTTGACTGTGAGAATAGGAGTTTAAGAGGGGCTTACCCCCTAATTTATTCAATTATTATTATTGTTTTTATTATTAATATTAAAGTATACAAAATTTAAAAACGATTTTTTTATTATAACGTTGTTAGGGTTTCCAGAAAAACACTATAGACAATGAAATGACAATCTTAAGGGGTTTTACGTTGATTAAACCGTAACCAAAAACATCAAAAGTTTTGATTGTTGAAGTTCTGGGAACAAAACCACATTTGGTAATAATACCTGTCAAGAACCAGGGAACTTTACAACAGAAAGTTGATCAAACATTTTCTATTAATCAGCTGTTCGAGAAAGTGTCCTTATATTATTCCACAGTGTAACCTACCTGATTTTCGGAAATACCGGGTGTTCGAAAAAGAACTGAACCATTTTAAAGGCACGTTCTGATACCATATAAGAAACTATGTCGAATGTTTTATATACATATTTAAAGCTTTAATTCTATGTTTATAACACTTGGTTTTAATATCCCTGGGATGTTGGTTGACCTTGGATATCAATGGTATCACGGGAATTTTAATTTAATTAGAATCCAAACAAATTACACTGTTAAATAATAATACTTTAAAACAATTTAATAACATTAAAAAAATCAAAAGTACAGTCTCTTGCAGTCTAGTAAAATTTTCTGAGTGTTGTTCGTTCATTTCCTAACTTTAAATATTTAAGGAATTCGACACTTGAAAGATAATTCGCAGCTTAAGTGCGACCGTGTGACTCACTCTAAAGGTTTATAGTGAAAAATGACAATGAATACCTTTAAAGGTACGTCATGTACTAGAGATAACTAGCATCATGACTCAAGAAGTTTAGAGTTTTAGGAATATTTGTCCTAAAGTAAGTTTATTGCATTAAGTAGCACTGTTTTTAATTGAATCTACTTAATATACTTTTATTTCAATTAATTTTATTGTTAATCTTTACAA